CCTTGAATTTTTAAATGCTAAACGTGTTTACGAGAAAAGCATCAGAGAGAGTCAGTTGCAGGCAATTAAAAGCTAAACCATACATTAAAACCGGAGGCATAGCTTGTACTCAAACAGACCTTTGCTGCCAGTCGGAGAGGTAATCTTGTGCGGCCTAGACCGGATGTCATAAATGATGGGATACTGGAACCAGGGAATTCTGCAAAATGCGATCAGCACTATGGAATCATGGATTACCTTAAATGAAGACCTTCGGGGTATATGTCCGGCTTCACACCTCCGATTCGACTAAACATAATACCTCGATGACCGCCATCGACTAAACTAATGTTACCGCGGACAATTATTCATACCTGTGAACAAAGACTGTTGGATTCCAAAAGCAGCTAAGCCAAGACCCCCTAGAAGTCCAAGTCCGTAAGTCCCAATACCTCCAAACTTTTTTAGCTGGTTCATGCCAAAATACTAAGTTGGCCGCAATTCTGGCTGTCAGGTTAAACAACGGGCTCAAGGCTATTCAGCCAATGAATATATTCGAGGGGCCTTAATCAGAACCGAGTCTTCTTGTATAGTACAAGGTTTAGGTAAAAATACGATGGTACTGAATCAGGACGTTTTTCGCGGATTTGAAACAAGTCAACTGCTGACTGAGGAAACAAAGTAGGCTGTCCCGTAAAATATGGGAGTTCGCGAAGTTTCGGTCACTGAACTGAATACAAATTAAAAAATATTGATAGTGGCCTCTGAGCACGTAAAATATACAATTTATTTATCAAGATAAGGTTTCGAAAGCTTGGTAGTGGAATTAAGTTGTATAAAGAGGAATATATTTCCCCCTTGGAAATGGCTAAGACGACTATAATGGCTAGTGAACGCTAAATGTTCTCGCCAGTTATTAGCCATTACCGCACCGATTTTTGCATGTGACGTGCTTCCTAGCCCAATACATCCGTTTTCCGTCTAATAATCTGTCAACTACGGTACATTTCGAAGTTGCCAATATGTGAATTTATTAGAAACTGCCGAAATACAGGGTGTCCCAAAAAAAATGTGTACACATTTTACATAATTGTAAAATTAGTGGTTATCATAATTTTATCATTCAAAAATGTAAAAATATATATACAAGCATCATTTTGTTCTTTCTTATTACTAAATGTTCTCAAACTGACATCCATTTTGATCATGACACTGCTGTCAAAGCGAAGCAGTGTAATTGCACACACCATAAAAAAATTCCCTTGATATTCAAGTGCATTCAGGTTCAGTGGGTTCTCTCAATACAGCCATTGTTGCAATAGGCAAGATGCAGTGAAAAAGCAGCAAAATGATACTTGTAAGTATTGTTGCGTTGTTGGAAAAATGGAGTTATAATAACTATTAAGTTTACAATCATTTAATAGGTGTATACATTTTTGGGACACCCTGTGTATGCGTTAACAACCGCAGTACCAAATCTCAATGTATAGTACAAACGCAAGTAACTCATCTGTCACTGGTTTTCCATCTGAAGTGTATAGGTTCTACTACTCTTTTCGCTTTGCTTCTACTCGCTGTGCATTTTTCGATCCGTAATGAAATTATTCACGATACAGTAGTCGCCGGTTATTAGGCCCATGGTTAATAGGCCCAGCCGCGTATTAAGCCCAAATCAGCTTTGGACGGCATTTACATAGCAAAATCCGCCGGCTAATAAGCCCAGTCGCCGGCTACAAACCCCCACTTCTCTTTCCTTTCCCACCCTGACAACCACGCGATTAGTTACATAAAGATATAAATATAACGACCTAACGTAAATTTATTGAGAGCAAACGTATGTTCGCTAATTTGACGTCTGAATTTTCCCATGGGATTTATCATAACTTTAACACAATCGAACAGCAAGTTGCCTCCATCGCGTGCTATACTCATGCATTCATACATGAATTCATACATTCTTACAGTTCCCTCTTGCTTTCTGTAGGCTAACACCTTTGCGGCTAGCGGCCTTGACGCACTGGCCATTTCAATCAAGCCAAAAAATGTGCTATTTATTTTCGTACATGACACAAGAACCAAGGGCTTCGTCACAGAAAATAAAGGATATCGGCCTTAGGACGTGATGGAGGTCGTTGGTTGAGCCAAATGTCTGCCCTATAGCTTCTCATATGAGTAAAGACAGTTCGGTCACTGCGAAGGATAACGTTTACTGTAGGCCCCACGTGCTGTTGGGCGAAAAATGGTGACGTGTGTGTAAATTAGTTCATAAAAATATGAGACTTGGGCAACACGTACTGCACTCTTTTTTCCCCTACATATCCGGGTCTAGTGGAAAGGTCGCAGCAGAGCTACTTGACGCGGGTTCGGGCATGATTGTTTGTAAGAGCCCGTCGGTGCATGCTAAGCACCACCTGGTTCTTGTAGTATGTGGCGGGAGACTCGGATCGCACGTGAGTAAGTGCATCGGGAAGGGGGCACATCCGAATGATATTATTAGGCCTGACTCCCAGGATCCCAGCCAGCCATCTCAGGTACACATATTACTGAAAACGATAATTGAGTTGCCAAGTCAATTGGTAACCTTCCAAGCCTTGACTTTGAATGCGCCATAATAAATCCGCACTAGTCGCATTTAGTCTATTGAGGAATGCGTAGAAGTGTGTTGGCGATGAGCCCCACAGAGTCGATCTCATTCACTCCTCCCTTGATAGTGCACGAGTTGGTAGGCCGAACCTGTCAACCAGTTGTTGCTGGGACTATGCGCAGTGGCTGGCAGAGCTGCAGCCACCAGTCGGCGCATGCCATACGCGGTCTGGCCTGGCACCCGATTGGACTAAATACCATGCTTCCCACTTACGTGAGAATGCCATATTCTCTCCGTATATCCAGCGAGATCGGTCGGATTTGTGTGGTGTAGGGATTGCTGAGGCCAGGTATGCTGAATATATCCATGCGATAGCCTACTTTGCTTAAGCAATGCATTCAGGCGAAGTTTGTGCCATGGGGTCTAGCTTGAGGTTCATGACATTAGTCAATGAATACAACTGTCAAATAAACACAAGAGACTGACTAGACCGATGCTTGGTGTAAATTCATAATGACAGTCTTTGTAGCACGAATTTGTAGATGCTGATTTAGTGGTTAAGTAGGAAAGGCTGATAGCGGGAAATTTTGTGTGTGGGAGATGGATTTGTCATCTGGGAACTGTGGCATCTTCTGCTGGCATGGATCCACCTGTTGCCAAAATAATCCATGGGGTATCGGAATATCCTGAAGAATTATGGGAATGTGCAGCGCATGCGATGGATATATGTTGGAGTTCCAAGTGCTATCCGAAAATGTTCGTGCGATGGATTTATACGTGGCGGATGAGGTCAATGTATGCTGTGAAGGTGCAATCGCAAGTCCGACGGGTTCCGAGGATGCCGGCGGAGGGGTGATGATAGTGGTGGCCAGCGTCATCATGGCCCTCGTTTATTTGATTCAGTGGAACTCAGTTTAGATAATGGAGAAAGGCAGAGCCCTTGAAAATCCTATTTACATATAGATTCTGCCAAATCATATCAAGGGTTGGTGTTCACCATATGTATCACTATCGTGTAAGGTTATATCAATACTTCTTTTAAATGCGTGAACGCTTTCACCAAGAACTAATGAAGAAGGTAGTTTGTCCCAGTCTTCAATGATCTGATGGGAAAAGATGTTGGCCTGCCCTTCTAGTTTGTCATGGTGTTTCTTCAGTTTGTATGGAGGACTTTGGAGATGTGCCGTTTTTACCAATTCAAAAAATAAGTCATCTGAAGAACACCGTCCACTTGTCGGACGAGTTTGAAGACCATAATCATATCTCTTATGTATTGCCTAAAACAGAGAGGACCTTCATATGGTGGGCTTCCCAGGCTACTGACTAATTTTGTCACCCTTCATTGAATTTTCTCCAGCGCTGCGTAATCTTGCTTCATCCAAGAGCGCCACGCCTGAATGCAATATTCTTACATCAACCGGACAGAAGTTCCATACGCTGGCCCAAAAAGCTCCACATAAAAACATAAGGAAAATCTTCGGGTCGCTCCAAGGATGTCCATAGCCCTGTGCAGTTTTGGCGTCGCGAGTTGATGATTTGAGTGTGGGCGTCATACATACACCCAAAACTCACGTGCTCGAGTTGGTGAGCTTCGATGAAGTTCTCATGGTCAAATTGTATCACCTGTCTGTAGCTAAACGGTAAGCGGATGACTTGGTATTTGTTGAAATGGAGGTGCGATAACCATCCATTACACTAATTTTGCAAGCTTTCTAAGTTATTTTGTAAGCTCTTGACATCCTCAGAGTTTTCAATTGAATTCCAAATCTTCAGTTCATCATTAAACATTATGTTCGCATAGGTAAGACAATAAAGGCAGTCATTCACACACATCAGAAACAGAATGGGACCCAAAACGCTCCCCTGCGTAACCTCACTGGAAACAGTTTT